ACAAAACCGGTGCTATCTTGCCGCGTCGCCGCACGCCGGCTTTTGATATTTTAAGGAGCAGGGAATGCTGTCTAAGATCTTCCAGATCGCAAGTAATGGGACAGTTATTCTCCCAAGAAGTATGGTATGGTGGCAACGATCCTTTAGTTTCCGAAACCACTGATGTAGAAGCTACACCAGAACAAGGTTCGGTCGGAGCTTAGTGTTTGCAACAAGGCTTCCAGCTCCAGAAAACATTGGACCTGTAAATGTAGATTCTATTTTGTCTTAAAAACAGATAGAATGTGAATATATGCATATATATATATATGATATATTTGTATGCCCCCAATAAAAAGCGGGACCGTCTCTTGATGAAGTTTGGCACCACGATATGAATCTTCTTAAGTGCTTCAATGTCCCGGCATTCCTCAATACGTCAGTGGTTCTTTGGGTCTTTTCCTTCGGAGACTACCACTTGAGACTACCACTTGACCACTCATAAAACTGGGATCCTGGTGAGAGACTTCGCAAAGTCCCAGGCTTCGTAGAGGTGTCCGAGCTAAAACGCGTCATGGGTGGCAACCAGACGGAGTCGCTCATCGGTCCTTTGGCGCAACGAACGGCACCGTTGTGCCGTTGCCACGGCGACGCGACGCGACGCGACATCGGTTGAGAGAACGGACGGACGGATGCGTCGGACCGAAAAGCCGTTGCGACCGTTCCCCTGATTTCTTCCACACAAAAACTTGGCATGCAAGGACGCTACTAGGGGCTCCTGGCATCGCTACTAGGAGCAAGAAGCTACTAGGGGCTCTTGGCCGTACTACTAGGAACAAGAAGCTACTAGAAACATCTAGAAACAATAAATAAAGAAAGAAAACCGCTTTTGGGAGTTCCCTGTTGCCTTGGTTTGCCCTGAGGGTTTTAAGACCTGACAGGACGTGCCAGAATGCTGGAGTGGGGGAGGAGCTTTCCCAGAAACGTTATACTCTGTTACACTTCGGGTAGTTTTTGCTCTGGGCATTTTAGAGTCCACTTGATTGGCAAGGAGCTCATTCTTCTCGTACCCGCTCTTTGTACACACAGGGGAGGGCATCAGATGTATAGAAGTGATCTTCCATGGCAGCCCAAAAAACCACGTGTGCAAGTGGCTAGGTTGCAACCAAATTGATCTTGAATTCCCACTCTTAGCAACTTGGTACAAGACGAATTGACTTGTTGTTTTGGCCCATGAAGTACAACATGGTACCCCATTTACAAACGTGTTGTCCAAAGATGGTTTCCACATGCAAAGAGTTGGCCATGCAAACCAGTTGTTGAGACTTCCGCAATTAGGTGAGTATGACTCCTCCGGAGATGGAGCAACTTTGCCAAAATGCAGCATTCTGGGGGAAGTTAACTGCTGGGTGGATATGGGTTGATTCATAACAGTTTAATCAAGAAGAAACATCCAACAACAACTATCAACAACTGTGAAATCCATGGAGCTTTTTTTTTTGACGGAAATGACATATCATGAGATGTTCCAAGCAGTCCGTGGACCGATCGGCCTTTTCTCGATCACAGCCGTTGCTTCCAAAAATAGAGCAAGCCGTTGTCGGTATGAGCACAGGTATAGCGAACTGAGGAGTGGACTCTTAGTGTTGCCAGGTCTTCTCATCAAAGACTCTTCAAAAAAACAAAGAAAGAAAACAGATCATGATCAGATTAGATACTGTAAAGACAAAAAAGTATCAAGAAGCCGTAGCCGATAGTAGCCACCATAGCCTTAACCTCCGGAGTAGTTATAACTGTAGCGCACTGTCGATCATGCTTGTTTTTGTCTTTGAGGTTATCGACCAGGCAGAGTTTCTGGCGATGATGTGCCCTCCTGGCTACAAGATGGAAAACTCTGAGGATAAGGAAGGGCACATGCTTCTCGGCAGTGTGACCGGCGGGTATACTATACTTTGCCAGACTGGTTTGTGCATTCACTGCTGATTCGCTGTTTCTAGGAGTTTTGTTGCTGAAGCAAAGGTGTTTTTGGTATTTCCTGGAATGATATTTTATCTGACCAGACTCAGGCTGGCTCAGCTCTTGAACGCTTACATCGATGAGGAGACTGCAAGGTTTACCTATGGCACCTAGCCATAATAATAGAACCTGAACAAAGAGTTGCCACATGGCCATACAGTGGAATGATATGTTGGTGCCCATGCTAGTTTCGGGATGTGGAATGATGCGGAGGTGTGTGGACATTCTTGCTGCAACGGGCCGCTGAGAGTGAGCTGAACCTTCGCGAGCAGGAACGCAAGGAAGTGGAGGCTGAGGAGGACCGCTTCGCACCCGCTGGAAGGTGCTGACAATGAGCCAATCACATGCTGGACATGTTTCTTTTGAAGCAGTTTCAAGTTGCTATGGTTTTGTCATGATCATCTTCTCAAAGCTACTCAAACCGTTTAGCATCGTTTAGCCCACAGCAGCCATGGCCAGGTTGCGCGCCGATAGTGTCTCCCTCCGAGCTGCCTTGCCAGTGGTCTCCCGGGAGCTGCAGACGGCAGAGGGGTTATCGTTACGTTCGTACACCGCGCTATCATAATCTATCTATGTATGCTCTGGGAGGAGTCTGGGCACGATCCCCCGGGATATACAGTACAGAATAATCACGATTACTGTATATAATTATGTTTGACAAGACTAAACCTTGAGATGAGCATTGTTAGGCTGTCATTCGGAATTTATGAAACATTCAACGTTTCTTCAGCAATATGGCCAACATATGCCAACACAGTGTTCCGATCCTAAATCTCAAGCTTGGCTTTGAGAACACCAGGGCCTCCAGGGTTGTAGTTTCAATTTGGGGATTGCCGGTTCAAGACATTTGTCCTTCAAAACCACTTGTTTGTGAACAACGGTGCCCAGCATCGGCCAAGTGCTGTTCTGTCTTTGCGAAGTGGCGCGTCGAGCCCTCAGCGAGGAGACCTGGGAGCTCTGGAATGAGCGCTTCAGCCATTTGGACCAAGATGACGATGGTTCCTCTGCTGAGGTTCATGGAGCCCGGTTGCCTCCGAGGGACGCGGAGGGCTGGTTAGGTTCCTTTTGCAATAGGCTGTGGGCTGTCATGGGATAGTGGTTAGGGGATCTGCTTTGGCGCTGGTGGGGAGTGAGTAAGCAACAGTTCAAGATTTGATCATCAGGGGGTTATGCAATGCTTAAACATATATATATATATACATACATTGTGGTCGCGCAGACAAAGACGAATTGCGCAGACACTTTCCTGAGATGGATATGCACTGAACCGAAGACGATTCCTGGGCAAAGACGCAGACGAAGACGCATCGCCCGCAGACGAATGCCCCAGCGCAGGCGAATTCCCTCGCGAAGATGCAGACGAAGACGCGTCCCACGCAGACGAATTCCCCAGTGCAGACGAATTCCCTAGCGAAGACGAAGACAAAGACACATTCCGTGAAACGGTAAAGACTTCCAACGGAAAAAGAGCCGGACACGGAAGGAACAGCCCGAAACAAAAGAAAGACTTATATACTGTAATCGGAAAAAGGAGGGGTATCTATTTTTGGTTTTTTTGTTTCTTTTTTGTTTTTTTTGTTTTTCGTGGCTTCTGGCTTCTGGCTTCTGTGGCTTCTGGCTTTTGTGGCTTTTGGCTTCTGTGGCTTCTGGCTTTTGTGGCTTTTGGCTTTCGTGGCTTTCGTGGCTTCTGTGGCTTTTTGGCCTATCCATCTATCTGTCTATACCTATCTATTTATCTATCTATCTTTCTTTCTTTCTTTTGGCAGCTGTTCTCCTTTCTCTTTTTGTATTTGCTTTTCCTGTTGTTTTCGTTGCAGAGACGAAACCAAACAAGGAAGCAAGCAAGCAAGCAAGCAAGCAAGGAAGCAAGCAAACAAGCAAGCACGAGCTGCTCACCTTTGGATCTGGTGTGCTGCTGGGGGAGGCGCTGCCCCCCCCCCCAACCCCCCCCGCGCCACGAAATCTGCACTTCATCCCCGACACCCGCGCCTGCCACGAAATCAATATTTTAAGGTGAACTCCCCGGTGCAAAACTTTCTAACCAAGCAAAATCTATCTATCTATCTATCTAATCTAATCTAATCTGATCTAATCTAATCTAATCTAATCTAATCTATCAATTTATCTTTCTATCTTTCTATCTTTCTGCAGTTCAACATCCACAAAGTACTGCACCTGCCACGAAATCTGCACTTCAAGGTCCACAAAGTCTTGCGCCTGCCACGAAATCTGCACTCCAAGGCCCACAAAGTCCTGCACCTGCCACCAACTCTACACTTCCACACCCACAAAGTCCTGCATCTGCCACGAAATCTGCACTTCAAGGTCCACAAATTCCTGCGCCTGCCGCAAAATCTGCACTCCAAGGGCCACAAAGTACTACACCTGCCACGAAATCTGCACTTCAAGGCCCACAAAAAGTCCTGCGCCTGCCACAAACTCTGCACTCCAAGGCCCACAAAGTCCTGCACCTGCCACGAAATGTGCTTTGCAAGGTCCACAAGGTACTGCACCTGCCACGAAACACGAAAAACAAAAAAAATCCAAAAAAAACGAAAAAAATCCAGAAATATATTCGCAACCTCGGAAAAATGCCGGAAACGAAAACAACAGACCAGAAACGGATAAGACTTAAAACGGAAAAAAACCGGATACGGAGGAAACAGACTGAGCGAAAAACCATCAGACTTGGGTCCGCGCGCGTGCGAGCCGCAATCAGCTCTCAATATTCAACTTCCGGCGCGCGCGCACGTGCGGACCCAAAACATTGTCCGACATGCCACGGCTTTGCTGAAATGGGGAAAAGAGTTGCAAGGGAAGAAGACGGAAACTTCCCCCCTGCTTTCCAGAGAATCTTGGAATCTTCTTGTTGAAAGCCTTTGAATCACGCTGGCCCTGAACATACGCCAGACATGGTTTTGAACTCCTGACAAGATTCGAGTCTTTTGACATGAGCGCATGATGACATATGATGTTGGGGACACAGGACACAGGTTGACACACGCGACGCACTGGCTCAAGGCCCAAACGGAGGCACCAAAAAGGGGTGCAGCGGTTTTCATGGTAGCGGAGCTCTGCCGGGCAGCCCCCGGCATCTCCAGGGAATCCCTTTTTGGGTGATCTTTGGGGGGTTAGGAAGGTCCACCCAAAAGCCCCGGGTGGATACGACTGGTTGGGGTCACGCTCATGGCATCGGATGGAGCTGGCTTGGAACAAGCCATTGGTGGAGATGGTGGCGCTGCCGCTTCACAGGCAGCCGGCGCTTCGGGTGGAGTGCAAGGACTGGTGCAAGCCCTCCATGGTTTGATAGAAGTTCAAAAGAGTTCAGGGTTCACGAAGCATTTGAGGCCTCCAACGAGTTTTCAACCAGAAAACAGAAGTGAAGAGCTTAGCAAATGGATGGACTGGAGGTTCCAATTCGAAACGTTCGTGGGTGCCGTTGATGCCAGCATGCTCAACCACATGAAGCATGCTGAGAAAGAAGAGAACCCCATCAATGATGGCAACCCACAGATCCGAGCCCAATCCGAGAGGTTGTACTCCCTGCTCACTGGCCTGATGAAACAAAGGCCACTCAGGTTGGTTCGAGGAGTGAGCAACCAGAACGGCCTTGAAGCTTGGAGGATCCTGACTAAGGATCTGCAGCCCAGGACTCGTCAGCGAAGCCTAGCACTGGTTCAAGCCCTCAATAAGGTCCAGTTTGATGCCACCAAGTCCGTGACCGAACAGCTTCCCCAGTATGACCTCCTGGTTCGTGAGTACGAGAGAAGTTCACAGACCACCTATCCAGATGATTTGAAGATTGCTTCAGTGGTGGCAGCCCTTCCTCCCAACCTCAGAGTCCACATCCAAATGGCTTTGCAGGATGACACGACCTTCGAAGACCTGAGACAGAGGATCGAGCTCTATGAACAGGTCAGCCAGCGATGGATGTCTGAAGGAGGCTTGCAGCTTTCTGTACGACCTATGGCCGAGGTTGAGGACAAGGGTGGACCAATGGAGGTGGATGCAGTGTGGTCCAAAGACGGTGGAAGAAAAGGTGGAAAGAAAGGAGGAAAGAAAGGCAAAGACAAGGGCAAGCAGAAAGGTAAGGGCAGCTGGTCCAAAGATGGAGGAAAGAAAGGAAAAGGAGGAAAGCCATTCGTCAAAGGTGATGGCAAGAAGGGCAAAGGCATGGGCACTTGTCACAACTGTGGCAAGCCAGGCCACTATGCCCAGGACTGCTGGTCCAAGAAGGTGAGACGAGTTGAAGAAGAAGGTCAAGATGTGAAAGGGTCAGCAACAGCGACAACAAAGGATGGTCAGACATCGGCGTCAACTGGCAGCTCAGCCCACACCGCAGGACGTTCGACAACTGCGGGAGTCAGGCGGGTCAGACTGGTCACGCCGACGGGATTGGCCACTATGGAGATTTTGATCTCACTGAGGGTGACTCCAATGAGGAGCAGGAGGCATCCGAGGCAGAAGATGAGACCTCGGAGCTGACCATCTTTGCAGTGACAGAGGTTGCCGAGACCTATGAGGCAATGGATGACGAGGAGACCTTCTATGACTGTGAGGAGGAGTTGAAGGATGAGTTGAAGCCTCCATCGATGGAAGAAACAGAAGCCCAAACCTCAGGACACAGAGATGATGGAGAGGCCAAGGCCATGGTTGAACCTATGAAGATTTGCATGATCAAGAACGTTGTGGCCTTGGAAGTTCCCTCCGTCATCATGACGATTGACTCCGGGGCAGATGTGTCAGTGGCTCCTGAACGGTTCTACAACCTTGGAGTTCCAGGTGCAGGTAAGCCCATTGAGATGATCGATGCACAAGGAGCCAAGATCTGCAGCAAAGGCAACCGCCGTCTACGACTTCAAGCCCAAACTCGTGATGGTGAAGTGGTTGAATTCATTGAACAATTTGCATTGGGAGTTGGTGTGACCCATCCACTTTTGAGCTTTGGACGCCTTCTGAAGCAGGGATGGGGACTTTCCAAAGATGATCATGATCTTTTTCTTGAACACCCAGAGAAGACCGTGAAGATTCCTGCAAGGCTGGAACGAAATTCGCTTGTTATGGATGTGAAGATTTGTGCAGTTCGAGCTGAAGGAGATGAACCAGAGGAACTGCAAGTCAATGCAGTGAGTGGAGGACGAGAAGAAGCAGTTGAGAGTGGTGGTGATACAAGGCCACCAGAGCATCTAGCCACGGCAGCAACAACTGAAAGTGCCACAGCAGCTTGCGAGAAGGGTGACAAGGAAGATGATGATGTGACAATGGAGCTGATGCCTCAAGTGTCGAATGAAGGTGATCCTGGTCAAGATGAAAGTCGGTCACCAGGTTACACCACAGAGGAGTCCGGCGACATCATGGTGAAGGGCAGCAGCAGTGAAGACGGTAAGGTGAAAGAGAAGTTGGCCCGTTGGGAGCGCTGGAACTTCAAGTTCAAGGAAGTGAAGAAAGAACCAGTTGAGCTGTCAAGCCCTGAAGAGCAAGTTCGGCCAGTCCGTGGAGCACCTCGACAGCTGCACGGATACATCTCACGTGAACTGGGCTTGTTAGAGCGTCTTCCAGGCTGGCATGCACTACCCAATGGGATCGTTGTTCACTCAAAGCCCATGGCATCACACTTCCATGACCCGAGCTCAAGCTTTGGAGATGAGTGGTGTGGTCGACTGACGTTGGCAAAGATGACTGATGGAAGTGATCAATGGGAGCAGCTAGAGAACCTAGCCAACTACAAAGACACTCCACTGCCTTTCCGGCCATTGCCACATGGGCCACGGACAACACTGACGTTTGTGGCTCCAGGTCTGATCAAAGACTACTTCGTCGTCACCTCGGAGGTTCCCGTCAGCCAATATCCATTGCTGAATGGAGAGCCAGCATCATGGCCAGAAGATGAGCAAGAAGACCAAGAAGGCGGCGAAATTCCATGGCTGGCAGCTGGAGGAGGAGAAAGGCCAGAGATTGCAGAAGATGTGCATTTTGTTGATCCTGATGAGCTTGAGGTCAGCATCGATGAACTGACGTTCAACAAGGACAACAAGCTGAAAGATCTCCAGGACATGTGTCGAAAGCTTGGGTTACCCACTTCAGGGTCAAAGGTGAAGGTGCTGAGAAGATTGCAGCAGTACAAGCACCATGAGGAGGAGAAGATTGCCTACGAGATTGCACAGCGGCTCTACAGTGAGCAGAGAAGAGAAGCAATCCCTGTGAAGACACCCAAGCTGCCGACCAAGCATGAACAAGAACTTCATCAACTTACGCATTTGCCTTTTCAGGCCTGGTGTCAGCAGTGTGTAGCAACAAGAGCAAAAGAGGATGTGAGGACTGATGCTGACACTGCAGATCGCAAGGATCGTGGCCGCAACGTGATCAGCTTTGACTACGGCTATACATACACCTCTGGAGCGGCTGAAGAAAAGCAATGGGGAACTGCACTCTACGTAGCTGAATCCGAATCCAAAGCAGTGTTGTGCATCCCCGTCCAGGCCAAAGGCAGTCTGTCGCTCAGGCAGATTACAGAGGAGTTGACTCGCTTCAGCATGCAAGTGTGCAACACACAGCCCATCGTATTTCAGTCAGATGGAGAGCGGGCAACCAGGCAAATCCTCCGAGCTGTTCAACATGCTCGAGCTTCAATCGGACTGACCACGGAGATTCGGACGACTTCCCGAGAACAACATGCAAGCAATGGTCAGGCTGAGCGAACAGTCCAATCTGTCCGGAAGCTAGCAAACACCCTACGGAGTTTTGCTGAGGAGAAGACAGGCATCAAAGTTACAGGTGACATGCATTGCTATCCCTGGAGCTTTCGTCATGCAGCCTGGTTGATGGTGAGATATCGTGTGATCAATGGTTGCACGTCCTTTGAAGCCCTGACAGACAGGAAATACAACGGAAAGGTTGCACTATGGGGTGAGACTGTCTTGTTCAAGGATGTCACTGCCTTCCGCAACAAAGGAGATCCTGTCTACAAGAAAGGGCTATGGATGGGCAAGAGTGCATGGAGTGATAGCCACATCTGTTTGACCCGGTCAGGTGCAGTTGAAGCTCGGTCAATCAGGCGTCTTCCTGACCAATTCGATGGACAGATGTTGGTGAACAGCAAAGGCCTGCCTTGGCAATACTCCATCCAGGGCATCCTGATGAAATCCCGTTTTGCAGCCCGACAACGTCAAGCTGAAGCAGTTGAGGATGCCGAAGGAAATGAGATGATCGAGCAAGAGGCCAAGACTGTTGGTGAAGATGTTGCGTTGGGCATGTATGGCCATGGTCCAGTGCTTGGTCAAGCAACACCAGGTTTTCCACTGGAAGGGTATCCCAGAACACCAGGGATCACCCCTAGACCAGCTACACCGGCACCAAGAACACCAGCAAGACCTGCAGTAGCACCAGCAACACCAGGGACTACAACTCAGACCTGGCGGGAGAAGGCAAAGGCAAGACCGTTTCCTACGACAGCAGAGGACGAAAGTCCGTCAAGGAAGATCAGTAGACTCCCCATTCCTGAGTCTATGAAAGGTGAACCTGCGAGGAACTTCATGCAGGACACTGAGGAGGTGAGCCCAAAGCGACAGAAGACAGCTGAAGCAGCCAAGCCAGCAACCTCAGCGGAGACAGAACGGCATGCACCCGGAAGCAGCTCGGTGACGACTTTGCCACAAGGGTCATTGAAGAGAGAACTGTTTTCATTGCCTTGGGACGCTGAAGATGATGAGAAGCTGAGAATGAGCCCCAAGAAGAAGGTGCGAGCCATTCAAGAAGAATTCCCTGGAGGTGATGACATGCTGGCAGAAGAGATTTTGCAGTCAGCCCTAAATGATGTGAGTGAAGATGAAGAAGGAGAAGGGCATGCAAAAGAACGACCTCCAGATGTGTCAGAGGAGGAACTGGCAGCTTTGGATGATGAGGCATGTCGCCATGAAGAACGCCGCCTGGAGCAGATGGGAGTTCTTGAAAAGGTGAAAGATGGCGAACCTGACGAAGAAGGTTCCTATGTCCTCACCAGCAAAATGGTGATCACCTGGAAGTTCAGAGATGAGCAAGGGGGCTGGTTCAGGAGAGCTAGATTGGTTGGACGACAGTTCAAATGGAGCGTTTTCACCGAAGACTCCTTTGCACCAACCTCAGCTTCAGTGGTGGTCAGAATGTTGCTACGTCTACAAATGCAGACAGGATTAGCTCTCTACACTCTGGATGTCAAAGATGCCTTTTTGCTCATGGACCAACCCGCTGACGAGAAGGCAATGATCGTGACCAGCAACGGCAAGTACAAGTTGAAGAAGAATTTGCCTGGTCAGAGGAATGCAGCTGCACAATGGTTCAAAGGATTTTGTGCAGTGGCCAGGGACTATGGCATGGTGCAGGACGTGATGCAGCCGACTATGATGAAGAAGGACAAGAAAGCCAAAGATGAAGGCAATGATCGACTGTTCCTCACCATCCATGTCGATGATTTGCTGTTGATTGGTGATGAAGAAGAAGTTGAACGATTCATCAACTACATGGAACAAAAGTCCTGGAAAGTGGAGAAGCGTGGTCCACTATACCAAGGAAACTTCAGCTACCTCAAGCGCAACATGGAGATGATTGAGAATGGCATTGTGATCCGCCCGGACAAAGAGCACATCAAAGCATTGGCCAAGGTGACCAATGTGGAGAACCGAAAATTCCGGACCACTCCGGGAGACAGCAACTTCACAAAGCTGAGCAAGGATGATGAGCCAATGGCAGACGAAGATGTGACGAAGTACAGGAGCGCTGTTGGAAAGATCTTGTACATTGCCCCAGATCGCCCTGACATCCAGTTCGTGGCTCAGGGACTAGCCAGTTTGATGCAGAAGCCGACCAAGAAGGCTTGGAGGGCAATGCAGCATGTGAGCTCCTACTTGTTGGGGACCATTGACGAAGGCATTTTGCTGGAGCACGGTCCTAGAGGCAGAAGTGTCCTGAATGTCAACGAGGACACGCATGAATGGGGAGATGACTCCAAGGCCAACCTGCTCGAGGTGATCTGTGACGCCGACTACGCAGGGCAGCAAGCTACAAGAAAGTCAGTGAGCTCAGTGCAGCTGTACCTGAATGGAGGACTGATGGAATCCTATGTCAGATGTCAAAGATGCATAGCGCTTTCCTCTGGCGAGAGTGAATATGTGGCCATGGTTGGAGGATGCAGCGAAGGATTGTTCCTGAAGCATTGCTGGTCCTTTTTGACTGGAGAGGAGATCAACATGGTCTGCAGAAGCGATTCCTCAGCTGCTCGAGCGTTAGCTGGTCGGATTGGAGTCGGACGAACTCGTCACATTGCAGCCGGCTTGTTATGGTTGCAGGAGAAGACGAACGCCAAGGAGTTGAGAGTCACAGGAGTGCCCACGGCCATCAACGTGAGTGACATTGGCGCCAAGATCTTGGGCAAAGCACGCATGAAGGGTTTGAAATTCCTCATCAAGATGGTAGATGGGGACAATGAGAAAATTGGCCAGCAAGAGTTTGAAGAGATCCACGCCAAAGAAGAGTTGAAGAAGAACACGAGCAAGTTAGCAAAAGCAGTTGGTGGAAATGCAAGGATAGCATTGGTCCTGGCTTTGACAATGCTGCAAGGTGGCAAAGCATCAGAAGTGCGTGAGACAAAGGAGATCCAGGAAGAAGAAGCATGGTGGATTCGGCCATTGATTACACTGGTATGCCTAGCAATGGTTGGAGCCTTGAGCTTGACAAGATGGCTATGGGAGAAAGGAAGACAGTGGTTCAATGGAAGACGAGTCCACAATGGCAGAAATGTGGAAGGAGAAGAGCCAGAAGAAGAACAGCAGCCGCAGCAAGTGGAATACGAGACTGACATCGAGAAGGTGAACATGCAATGGCAGATCGTGCAGCTAGAAGTGGCGCTGGCAGAAAAAGATGAATATTTGAAAGAGATGACAGAAGAGAAGGATAGAATGATGCACGAGTACCTGAGGTTCGCAGACATGAATGTCAACCTCAGGGGTCAGCTGGAAGATCTTCGAGAAGAGAATCTTGGACTGACCAACCGACTTCTTCGCAGAGGAGGAAGCCATGATGAGAAAGAACAAGAAATCCAGAGACTGGATGAAGAAATCAAGCAGCTGAAAGAAGTGAATGTGCTGCTGAAGGCACGCATTGACGAGATGAACCAAACATCCAATTCGAGGCTGAAAGAGAGCCTTGATGGTGTAAAGTTTGAAATGGAGCGAAAGCATTGGACGATGACTCATAGTGGTGAATGCTACCACGAAGAGACATGTTCACGCGTGGCCAATCGAGCCACAAAAGCAATACGTCCCTGTCCATACTGTGTTCCCAACACCATGAGGGCCGTGACAAGATTCGAGTCATTTGACATGAGCGCATGATGACATATGATGTTGGGGACACAGGACACAGGTTGACACACGCGACGCACTGGCTCAAGGCCCAAACGGAGGCACCAAAAAGGGGTGCAGCGGTTTTCAACTCCACCTCAGCACCCTAAACAATAACCCCGCCTGCATACACATCACTACACACTATTTTAACCTCGGGTGCGCGCGCGCCTACAGTTTATAGTCTCAGTTTGTTTCAAGAGCATTGGCGGACCCAGTTTTCCCTGGGAAAAAAAATAAAGAACAAATCTGTCCAGGAAATCTGTCTGCACAATGTGTCGTCAGTGTCTCTGTGTCGTCAGGGTTCAAGGTGTCGTCGGCTAATGTGTCTTTGGAATGTGTCGTCAGCGTCAGGTCCAAAGTAGTACCCCCTTCTGTGGCTACCCTGCTTATGTAATATAGGTAGTAGGTTCCTTCCCCCATTTATTGCCCTGGTTTTGGTGCAAACAAGACTTGTCGCGGTTGTTGTTTGTACTGAAAACCGTCCATATCCAGACGAGTTTTGGATGTCCTTGTGACATTGGGGTCATTGGGTGACCAGGTTATATCTCTGCCGATGACTTGCGTTCCTTTCCCGGACTCTTCCACTCGAGCATTGCGCGCTCCTGGGCTGCAAGTGGCGAAAGCCTTTGCTTTCTGGCCGTTGGGATCCAGTGTCAAATCGCAAGGACTCATAAGTTCATAAGGTTTATATTATGTACATATATATATATACACATACATACGTTCATAAAGTATATATCACATATATATATATAGAACTGATTCAGAACGCGTGGATGTTTTGAAGGAGGGGACTCATCTAGTTTTCCTCCAGCCAAAGAGGAATTGTTTTGTGATTATCTGAGCAGCTAAACAAGCACCATGTTTGGCAGCAGACAAGTCAAGCAGCTTTTGTTGACAGGTCAGGTGAGAGGCCTATTGTGCAAGTAGTACGGACAAAGCAAAGCTCTCAATATGAACACTCGATCCAACCGCCATTGACGAAGTTTAAGAGACGGGCATTTGCAGATCCATTGGGCGATCGTTGCCCTTGCCTTTCGAGGCGACTTGTTGCTCGGCATTTTGGACCACAAGAGCGGGCCCAGGCAGATGGGGCCAGATACTGTACAGTTCATGCCGGTGGGATCACAGTATTGCTTGCGGCATCTTGCACCAATTCCTTGGAGAGACTTCAGTATAACAGTATATAACAGTAGTGTAACAGTATATACATGCGGTTTTGATATCTTTTAATCTTGAAGGAAAACCGAGCGCATGCCAGACCTTGTGCAATATTCCAGACCTTGTGAGAGGATCTCCAAGGAGTTCTTCCTGGACACGTTACTGAAGACGCAACGCGTGAGGATGCCCACCTGAGTAATAATGCACCGAGCATGCCATCCGACCAGCAGAGAGCAACGCAAGGCTTTTGCCTGGGGCTTTTGCCTGTTTTGCCTTTTGCATTTGAGGGACAAAAGGAGGAAGCATTCCACCTGGAAGGGTCGAATTCGTTCAAGGGACGCCGCTTGTTTTAAGAATCTGAATCGTTTTCAATCAACTTGGAGAGAGTGGAGGCTTTAGAGCTTCAAGGCGCACATGGACTCCTTTTTTAAACAATAATTTTTTACAAGCATGTTGTTTTAGCCGAGCCCGAACGTGTTGCATTCCAAACGATTTTGCGTTCTCTTCCATGGAGTCGTGTCTCGCGGTGAGAGCTGGATGACTTCTTCATCCCCCTCAAAGGGGTTGCTCTCAGAGCTCTTCAAGTGATCTGGTGTCGCTACCATGGTGCGACCACTGTAGCGTAGAAACACAATCGCACTCACATTTGGTTCGAGATCTCATTCTCGAGGCTCTGGTGATAGGGAGGGTTCTGCAGCGTCAGTCCTCACCACAGCCAGAGCCCTTGTCGTTTAGTGGCCCGTTTGGCACTGAATTGGTTGGAGAGCTGAACAGCGGCTCTTGAACCAGTGGAATCAGTGGAAATGTGAAACATTGAGGTGAGGACTTCGGGTGTACGATCCAGCTCGATTCATTCGGTCACGAGGATTCAAACTCAGAACAAGAAAACGGGAAGTGCAAAGTTCAGGAGGCAAACGCACAGGAGGTTCCTGCCTCAATCTAAAAATATATACTGTATATATATATATATTTTGTTTTTTGGACTTTGAAGAGTGCAAAAACGACCTTTTCAAGGGCCTTGAAGCCACCCTAGATGACTGTAGATGACCCGGATCAGATCTGACCTCGTGTTCCATGTATTGCATTGCCTTGCAGGCAAATCTCTTAGGAAAGTGCCACCGTGGCGAGTTGTGCCAGTATGCGCACAGCAGGGGAACCTGGATTTGGGTCAATGCACTTTCTGACAACATGTTTTTTGGGGATCAGGCTTGGATCAGTGCCGAAAGTAAGACATGTGGCGATGGCATGCACCGTATTCTCTTCCGTCACCTGTTCTTCTCCTGCGTACTTGAAGGTGATGAAGAGCAGAACCAGTGGAAGCGGAGGAGGTTTGAGCAGGCGAGACCGTTTCTTCAAAAGTTCGGTATTCTTGCATGAGTCGAAACATGATTAATGTTAGGCCGAACTTTGCGGTTTGCCTTGGCATATCAAATTCCGGATCGATGCCATCGACGTGGAATGACCCACCAGGCGCCACGCCCGCGGCACGTGGAGGCTCCAGGCTTGGGTTAGTTGGGTGGAGAGGGGTAGAGGTGGAACCGCAGCGACGTGTCATTCAAAACAAGAGTATACAGGTGTGTGGCCACCCACCATCACTGACCCATTTTTTCACTTAACTTGTGACCAATGCTCCTGGATTCGGGGATTTGAGGCCGTACAATGCAATGCCACATTGAGTTGACTGTAAGGACGACTCAGTAGAGGGGCTTAAGCTGGCACCAACCCCTGGCCTGAAAGCGTTGCGCAGATACTCTATATGTGCTTCCGACAAACATCCGATTCTGTCGGATCCTGAGAAACGTAGTTTGATGATCTGGGAAGCAACCGCTTTGGAAGAGTTTCCTGTGCAGACATGACTTGTGGTTGCGGCACCCATGTTGTTTCAGACGTGATCACTTCCATGACCGTCTTAGGCCATGACACAGTGGCGCCAGACTTTCAAGATGGAAGGCCACAACGACAGAGAAGAATGCATGAACAATGATTCCCAGTGCAGCTTATTGTCCTTGTGGGTGTCGCCGCAGGTCGATCTTGCAGGGCTTGTGGGGCCTGATGGAGGGCGAGATTCAGCTTCGGGACTTGCCAGAGATGCAGGCCATTAGCACAGTTTTGAAACAAAACACTGTCGATACCAGTGACATGTCATGTTTTTTACAGAGTTTCAATAGACCACCATCAAAGCATATCAAAGACGAATAAAACTCGACGGAAGACGCCTCTGTAAGGTGGTATTCTTCGAAGACCGGCTTCATTCCTTGAGCAATCGCCGGCTCTGCTTGCCGCTTGGCACCTTCTACAGTTCTCACCACAGTTGCCCTTCCCAAGCCTTGGCTTTCTGGGTGTCTTGCTGACTGCTAAAGTCTTTCGGGTTCCTAAATTATTGAAGAAAGCTGAGGTACATACTTTGCGAGCATTTGGGGCTGATTGACAGGAAGGTCCCAGTGAAGGTGAAGCTGCTGGCCACTTGGAAGACAGCGCAACTGTTTTGTAATTGAAACAGGCTGGAGGGACAGGTGGTGTTAGGCTCAAGATGGGTCTACCGGATTGAAACCTTTTGACGTGGAAGGGAACAGTCTGTGGTTGTGTACTTGGTGCTGTAGTGCATTGCAGTCCCTGAGTCCTTGTCAGTTGACTCGACAAGGGTCCGTGAAGAGCTTGAACGCAAACCATCCAAACAGATACTGTACATTTTTTTTCATCACTTGATTGATGGGGGTCTAGCACAAGTTGTTTGGGAGACCCTCGCAGCCGAGAGCCAAGGAGAAACCGCCTGTGAACTTCTGGAAGAAGTACACCACGACGTGCGACGGGGATGCCTGGTTGAACAAGATGTGCCAGGGCAGATTCTTGCGCGTCCTTTCCATCCATGCCCATTCCTTTCCCTTGCCTTCGCTTTGCAATTTCCTTTGCTCACGCCTTGTGGCTTCTGTCATCTCGATGCCTCCCCTGACTGCCTAGGACTGGATCCGTGTACGGCGAGACGGAAGGATAGTCTCGCACAACAAGGAGCAGACAACGTATGGCTTGGAGCTCCTGGGCTGACGGAGATCGGCGGAGGGTGTTGCTCACGCCTTGGGCGGCCTTGCCCATTTCCGCACTGTTCTTTGAGGTTGTAAACCATTCTGTGAAGTCAAAGGGTCCAACTTGATTCAACATTCAAAATCTGAGAGGTCCATGAGCAATGCCCTTTTCCCCTTTGGAGCGACTGCTCTCATCTCGTTTTAGTGGCTGACGTGCGTTGGTGGCCAAAGCTGCTACCCATCCGCAAGAGGTTGGCTGTCTTTGAATGAAAACAGTGAAGGTCACATCATTGCTTGTAGGTTTCAGTGCGCGGCCTTTGACTGTAGTTTCGTTCAATCAATCTGATGGCCCTGCTTACGCTCCAGGGGCCTAACGTTTACCAATGCAGTGGATAGTTTACCTATTCCTCAGGGAGTCGGCGAATACGATGAAATGGTTGCCGTCCAGTCCCAAGTTTTGAATGAGGTTTCTCAACTTCAACCCCATAGCCGATTTTGTTGTGACAGTGGTTCTCATACATGGTGCTTGATAGGTCTGGGGGCGGTTGGGAACTTTCTTTGAGTTTGCTGCGTGATATCCACCGTCTCAAGAAAGGTTGCTTTGCACCTTGTGTGAGAACACCCTAGAAAGACTGGGGACAGGTGCCTGAACCACCAAGATTGGGAACCCTGTTGAAGATGGACACAATGTCGACTGAAGCCAGCAAGGTTGCATTAAGAGCGTTGGAGTTTTGGACGAACGAGCATTTGGCCACTATGTGACGGCCTGCTTACGTTCTGACTTCTAACAGATGAGCTTGGAGCTATGGCAGATGATGATTTGGCCAAGGCCATTGCATTATCCATGCAAGGCTAGGCCTGAGAGGTAGATGAATCTGGCATATGGGCTCAAACGACTCTTGTGGGCATATGTATATATATATATATATGGTGATTTTCACTGTGCCAACGCTGCTACTGGTGTGGAAACTTGTATGGCTTTGCTGTTGCAATGAAGGTGTTGAAATTAGTCGATAAATTGGAAGAGGCTTCCAGTTTAACCAAGATCAAACCGCTTTGTCATTGTCCATCTTTGCCCAGAAACCAACACTTCGCGGCTGGTGCGGCACGAGATCCCAGCGGACAACTCATGCCTTTTCAATTCGGTGGCCTACGCGCTGAATGGTGGTGCCGGCAAAGTTGATTGCTTTCGAGTTCCCACATTTTGGCGACTGTTGTGCACTGATCATGAATAGTTTCACCACAACAACACCTCGAATTTTATAGCCCACTTGGAAGATTCACGAACCAGAGGAAGGGAGTTGTGACGATTCGTGCGTAGTATCATGCGGCTTGGCAGTCAAAACATCACCAAGTTTGTTGGTCTCAGCAACGCTATCCCAGATAGCGGCGACGACAAAGCCTCGGAGCTGCGGGGCATGGTGGCGGGACTGGTGCTCTCTGACCCAGAAACGCCAGGGCCACAGGGGATGAGTGGATGGGTTCAGAATTATTAAGATTTGGTTATAACCTATTTAAGCTATTAAAGGGGCTAGGGGCTAGGGGCTTTTCTAAGTCAGCAAGGGTATATAAGAGGTACAGAAGTCTGTCGCATTGGACAAGGGAAGGCAAGAATAGGCAAGACCTGGGTGATATAGAAGCAGCAGCATATACATCGCTCTGGAGCGCTATTCGGTTGGAGGTCATCTCTATTAAAAACAACTAATAAAGATGATTTCTTTCAAGGTTGTCTTGAATCTAAGGTGGACAGAGGCCATGTTGGGAAAGCCACCGGAAGAGTACGCAGATTGGTTCCTTGGTGACTCAAAGGCTCACAAGGTGCCTCTACATTTTCCACCCATCTGCCTGGCCAGGCATTGCCGTAACCACCTGTGTTCAGTTGCAAATTTCAATTAGTAGTAGCTGGGGCCTGTAGTGTCAACCATGGCCTCATGTGAACAATTGGACCCAGACACATTCATGTCTTTATGTTTCATTATAAAGATTTCCTGGCGTTAAAGCTCTGAATTGTTCTTCAAAGTTTGTGGGCTGCTAATGGGAGTGGTTTGGAATTGCTACGCGATATTCTCAATTGCTATGTGAGATTTCAAGTTTTGGCAGGTGCGCAAAAACCACACCAGGGATTGACAACGATTCAGGGATTTGGTTACGATGATGATGATGATGATGATGATGATGATGATGATGATGGTGCAGCAACTGAGAATCAATGCTTCAAAATGATAACTACACTATGTTCGAAAAGAGCAAGCATGAAGAGTAAAAACATAGAACAGTGTAAAAAAAGAGTAGAACAATAACATAACAAAGAGTAAAACACAATAGACCAACTATAAGTTATAAGATATGTCCATATACATAAATATAAATGGAAAACCGTCAGATCCAACCCCGTCACTCAGACCATAGATGACTTTGCTGGGTGAGGTACTCATGAGGCTCATAGAATTTGCACTCAAGTTTCCAACATGGATGTTTGGCTTAGTCCTGGAGAGGATATTTGTTTGATCTGACATTATGTTTATGTTGGGAGGATCGTTGATATTTCAGATTCAGGGGCCATTGTTGTAAGAAATAGGTACGGCTCCTGAACACACTTGAGTTTGTTGTTGATTTGTCTCATTTGGCAGACGGAGCATGACTCCCACACAAAGTTACCCCTACACGCCGCTGTTGTTGGCTCTTCTGGTTCTCTTGGGCTGATTTTGTCCAGGATACAGGATAGCGAGCATTGGGGCGGTGGCATCGAGCTGGCCATTTTGGCGACGTCCCACGAGATGGAGACACGCTGTCACCGGAGGTTTTGGGTTTACACATATTCTCCGGGGGTCTACTGCCTGCCTGACTGGGGGAAGGTAAAAAAGAACCTGTGAAACTCTTGGGCGCATTCCCGAGGTTTTGCATGGTTTTGCATGATTTTGCTAAGAATGGTCTTTGGGATATGAACAGTTAGTTCTTTGCAGGGTTTATCCCTTCACACCAACACCATAGAGCCCTGCCACTGCCACTGATCAGCGTCGCGTTGGCAATGCGAGTGCAAGCTGCAAGTCAAACAAACTTTACAATCTTTGCATTGTGTTTTGATTCTTGTAAACATTGAGGGACGCCTTTGAATACTTTCTTCGAAGGCAGGTGACCAAGCATTGAGCTGTGCTTCTTCCAGCCGGCAAGGAGATTGCGGCCGTAGACATCCAGACACTGCGGGTGAGCGTGTTCGGCGAAGGTCAAGGCTAAGAGCGGCTAATCAGCTTCACTGAGTGATCGTTTTTGAACAATTCAGATTTGGAATGCTGCAGACTGACATAGAAGTTGAACAAGTTGAACGCTCGCTGAATTCTATGTGTTCTTTGTGACACGATTAAAGAGAGCCTGTAGCACATGACTTCAATTTCATAGAGCATCCTGGAGCTCTGAAAGACGAAAGAAAACATACTAAGTTACCAAGGCAACGTTCGTGGGAACCACTTTCTTGGAGCCTTGTGGGAACCTAGATGTTCCCTGTTTCCAAGGGAGGTGGGCCACGGTGGATTTTGTCGCACCTCACTACGTCGACGTCGACGCCCATGGGACCTCCCTCGGAGGCTTCCGCCGGCGTGCCCTGTTGATCTACGACGGCATTCACTATGATGTGCTGGTGCGCCGTGGCCCCTCAGGAGTGCAAAGCCGAGTGGATCCCGGGTGTGTTTTTGCAGCACTGGCGCTAGCCACTCCTTTTTTGGACGAGCACTTGGTAGGTTTGCAGGATTGAAATCACCAAGGCCAAATGCCAAAACCAAAGTGAATAGACAGTGAACATTGAACAGTCCAAGGTTTGAAATAAGTGACCTGGGGTGGGCTACATGAACTGTCCTTGAATATGACGATAACATGCATGTTGGGTAGAATCAGGTAGAAACGCCTCCGAACAGATTGTGGGTCTTGTTTGGTTGTGTGTGGGCCAAAATGAGCTGACCGAAGGACTGCTGTGAATTTTGCTTTAGGTGTGTTTCCAACGGCCAGATGAACATGTCCAATGAATCTTCACCAGTGTCTCAGGAGAGGAAAGGCTCTTCGGGGTCGATGACCTGGCAGCCGTTGAGGAAGCAAAGGCAGTAGCCAAGGCCAGAGGTGCTACAGAGGTTTGTACTACAATTTTCATTCAAGGTATAAGGTGTGCACAGGATAGCCAACGAGACAATTGAAGAAGCTCAACAATCGCAGTTAGTACAGAGTGGTTCTCGACTTTGAACATTATTGACACGTGATTGCTTGGCTGGTGCCAGCAGACACTTTTCTTTGCACAGAATTCCTGGGCTGCAGGAGGCGCAAATAGCTCGTGCCTTGGCTGGACATCGCATGACCAATGCGGTGCTCAGATCTTTTTGAATAGATTAGTTGGCGCACAACCATGATGGTTGTGTTCTCGAAGTCATTAATAAGCTTTCCTGATGTTGAACAGCGCCAGACTAGACACGGCTGGAAGGAGAAGCCCGATATCAAGACTTGGAAGTTGCCAATGCTGCAAAACACATTTTTTGGCAAAATTCAAAGGAGACAGACACCGAGACCTTCATGACTGGCCTGCCGTTTGCAGGCAACTTCACTGACGTTGGGCGTTTCACCTTGCGCTGTGTGAGCTGTCAGAAGGGCCTCGTTGGACAACAAGACGCCGTGGAACATGCCAAGGCAAGTCAACATGCCGGAGGGGAGAGGAGCAAGAACGCTGCTAGAACAAAGGGCATCGCTAGTAACGAGCAAAAACGCTACTAGGGGCTCCTGGCCTTACTACTAATAACAAGAAATTATTAGAAACAAGATTCGTCCAATATAACTATATGTGATTTCGTCGACGATTGAGGCTACTGGGGACATTAATTTCACAGAATATTGATATTGATTGGAATGACGAAATTGGGCAAAGATACCCAAAATTTGGAAATAGAATCTATTTCCCTTTCGACGATGGAAAATGTATATATATATTTTGAAACATGAAAAATATTCTTAACTATATTAGTTTAAATATAATCTAATATTATATTATTAATATTGACTTGATTAATTTTCATGATTTGAATGGATGATTTGATATATTATTATATCTATTTTTTTTGGATATATTAATTTGAAATAATATATATATATATATCTTAAATATAAGAAATATTAAATAATTTGATATTAAATTATATATTTTTGGAATATTTAGGAATGCATTATTTTAATCTAATTTAAATATATAGATTTTCTTTTTTTTGACGAATTATATTTAAAATAATATATATTTATATAATTTGGAATATTTTTGAATTTATATTAATTATATTATTAATTTATAATTTGTTATATCTCTATAATATATATATAAAATGAATATAATTTTAATAGAATAATATTATTTATGATATTAATTATGATTAATATCGATTATATTAGTTATTAATATTTATATATTGGATTAATATTGGATTTTCATGCATACACTTATTCATTCGTAGTTTGATTATGGTTAGGCTCGTGTTGGGCAGTACGGCCATCTAGCTGCGGTTGCTTTAGTGAGTATCTAGCCACAATTACGATGCAAAGGTCGAAAGGTAGACTTGAATAGCCCCACCGGAAAAGGCCGTCCCTAGCAAATCGATTGGAAAGATCAATGTGCAAATCTTCGATGGGCCTCTGATGGGCCTCCGCCACCACATATTTAGATCTTCTTGAGGGATTAGATAGGCCGACCGGCAGATTGGATTAACAACTGGGCACCTGATCGCCTCTTTTCCATCATCTGGCATCCAGGAGCTACCCGAGCTGATGAAAAGACACTGGTAGTGGCCGCTGTCAGGGTCTTCTCCAAAGTGATACACGATGGTCACCACTCTGTGGTGTAGCCAGCTGATATCCCGATCGGCGGGGTGATTGAAGACCGGTATATGGACCTCGGCACGTGAGAAGTCCACCGGAGTGTCACGCTTCAAACCGAGTGCAGGGAATCTTTCGATTTGCAACACTATGCATGGATGGGCATGAATGCAAGCATTCGTGAACGGATCTTGGCCATGCCACATATTGATCAAAATTTGCAGGTCGCATCTCTTTTCGTCCGGCACACGAAGGAGCAAAGGTGTCAGGAGAGCAACGCGGTCTTCCGTGGAGTTGGCTAGGCGTGTCTGCCAGCCATTGGACTCCATTCCCCAAATATGGCCATTGAGGTGTTGTCCTCTCAGCCATCCCAAAAACTCTGCTGCGTCCTGCTGTTCGGTGGAGATGTGCTCATCAAACCACGGTTGCAACAGGCTTCGAAACGGAACTGAATTGTTAAGATCCGCACCAGATGGTGTATCGAGCAGTTCAAGTAGAGGTTTTCTCCACTGACCCCAAAGCTCCGGATCAAAACCTTCATAGGCCAAAGTGGCCCAAAGTTGTCCCATCAGTGCAGCATTGATGTAGCAAACATTGGTGGGATTGTAGAGCTTCAACCGGAGCAATTGTCTCATCAGCGTCTCACACGGTGGGCAATGGCGGTAGCAAGCGGGGATCTTTGCAGGCCGGTTGGCCTCAAGCGCAGCAAGATCAACTGGCATATCCCGCTTCCGCTCAAGGTGTTGAGAATCTCGAACAGTTGAGTCGAGGCTGCACTTCTGAGACTGAGATCGAGACGCCATGGTATCGTCACCTGTGAATCTTCCGGCACTTGATCTCGATTCATGGGTTTGAGCGCGCTGAAGCGCTGGATCAGGTCGCCCTGGCTGGTCAGTTGTGAGAGCTGAATGGTGAGCTCCTGAACCTTCTCGTGTGGGATCGGTGGTTGCTTCGTCGGCCGAAGGCACTTGGCTGCGTTGTCCCACGCAAGGTAACGCCAAGCGTTCTCTGCTGACAGGATACCTTTCTGTCGAAGGGCTTGTACCAAGGATCCTCCGGATTGTCGTACTTCAGCTTGGTCAGGCGTTGTATCAATAGTTCGATCACCTTCAGGAAGTTGACTTGCCTGAGCGAACAAGTGACTCCAGAGTTCTGTCTCTGATGATGCCATTCCTTGGCTGTTAGGATCATTTCCGGCAGGATCGAGCCACGACCTGCTTGCAAGAACAACAGGAAGCTGCGGTCTAGAGCCATCTGATTCAACATGTCCTCCTGCCGTAGCGTCAGCTTGGCCAACATCATCAAAAGCTCTGTGTCCCCTTCGTGCTTCGAAGAGGTGGTTGAGGAGTTCGAGCGGGACTTCGATCTGCCTTTTCCAACTGCTTTGCCCTGAGAGGACTCCGGCTCTATACGAGGGCGCTTGAGATGAACTTGGCATGTATCCAACAGATCTGCAAATGACATGTCGTCCATGGACATACTGTCGTCCAAACTCATGAGCACCGGGGCTCAGGACGAAATCTCGTGCCAAGGCATGCTCGAGTTCAAATAGTGCAGTGCAAAGCCAGTTGATTTGCTCGTGCTGGGTTGATCAAACTGGGGTCCCACCATGTGTCCATGCTAACCGAGTGCCAGGCCCAGTGTACCGGCAGCGGTTCCACAATCCAGCGGATGATGTGGAGTGCAGTGCCCAGGTTCATGGCAACCTGTGGTAGGTCATGAAAATGGATTGTCCAGCGCATGACGAAAGTATACCAAATCAAACGACGTTCAGGTTGGAACTGAATGCATCTGGCAATGGTGACTTGTACTGAATGTCTCAAGTCCATGGTCGAAAGGCTGTCGGTTCCGAGAATGAGGCCCAGTGCCCAAGTCGAATGGTGTCCCTGAGTCGGCAGGGGAACGGCAGGTTGGTTCTGTGCAGGTGGGGACTGACTGTCAACCTTGGGTCCATAGTGGGTGTCTCGAACCCAGTTCATCAGGAGGACCGGACAGGTGCCACGATCAAAGTGGTTCTTGAGTGCAAACGCCATGGTGAAGCTGGCTTTGCAATGCATGCAGCTCAATCGTCCAGGAAACATATCCAGGCTTGGTCGAAAGGGGAATGAGCTGGGCTTATCTATTTGATGCACTGTGCGAAGATGATTTGCAACAGCTTTCCTACCAAGGTGCTCAAAACACAAAGGACATTCAAACTCTTGAACAGGGACTGGAATTTCAGTCGTCGTAGCTCGAAGACGATGGGCGATCGTGTCAGTTCCAGTGGGTCGACCCTTCTTGGCCGGCGGTGGGACTGCCAAGAGTTCAGTGTGCGCCGTCTGTTGATGAGTAGTCAAACCATTCAGGCTCAGGAAGCAGGCCTGACAGGTCTGGCACTTGTGGAGTGCAGCCTGTGGTCTGTCTGCTTGGTTTAGGTCACTGTGCTGCATCTGTTCCTCCCCCCCGCCCTCAGTCTTGGCCCGTTTCGGTGCCGGCTCGGTGGGCGGCTCATGTGTCGAAGGTTCCGGACCTGAGGGCACGGTGGCAGACCAAGGTCGTGTTCGAAGCGGCATGATGGGAAAGTGGTCAGGGCTCATGACATGGCCGGACATGGCAGCTAGCTGGTACATGACTGCGCAAGTGTGCTTCTGGAGATCAAGGCTCTTGCATTGACACATGGGGCATTGGCCTTTACCAGAGACAAGGTTCGAAAGACCACTGACAAAATCATATTGCTGCTTTGCAGGGCCGACTAGCTCAGGATGGGAATCCGTGTAGTTTCTGGTCATGGCTCGGGCGTGTACTTGGAGATTACAAAAGGCACATCTGGTAGCCAGTTCCGAACAAAGTGCTTGGTCCAGCATAAGGCCCATGAAGGATCGATGTCTGATGTGCATTCTGAGCTCGTCCCGGGCGACAATGGGCTGAACAGCAGCCTGGGCAGCGTCGAAGGCATGGCACACACGTTTGTTGATGTGATCTCTAAGGGCATACAATGTGGTGAAGTGATGTTTGCAGTGTCTGCATACAGACCGACCATCAAAAGAATCTCTCAAGGGTTGGAACACGTCTTCAGGGAGGCAGAGGACCTGATGCTGTTGTCTAAGATGTTTCTTGAGCATCCCCGCCTGTGCAAAGTGTCTGTGACACTCAGGACAGGCTAGCGAGGCCTGAGGCAGCGGTGGGGATGGCGGAACAAAAGCATTCATATCACATGGTGGGTATGCCGGGCTGAGCGTGCAGACATCCGGTTGCGGCTCAGCGGACTCCATCATTTGTCTGGCTTTGATGGCCAGAGCAGTGGTCAACTTACTATGATGTTCAGCTATGTACGTCCATGGAGGTTGAACTGCCAATCTATTGAAGAAGTCAGTCGTGTTTTCATGTGTGAGATGGACAGGTGAGTGTGTCATGCGACGATAGTGAACATTGATCATATTGCCAATTCTTTTACAGCAGGATAGCGGCAGACCCATTTCGTGAACACCGTAAAGAACAGTGGGCACAACACATTGCTGATATAAACGAAATCGAACATGTGTAGGTATGGATTGTGCCTGGAGCCATCGCTTCAGTATCGAATAACAGTGTTGAGCTGCTTTGACTCTTCTGGCCGTGGTGTCGGATTCCCATGCTCTGTATCCGATGATCACACCAAGATACGCTGTTTTGGCCACCATTGGCAGTCGAAAAGGTGTGTCCGGGATCACGAGCTGGGGGCCATGT